GGAGGGCATCGAGGCAGGACAATTGGTGGCATCCGAAATCAGAAGCAACTATGGAGAGAACTTCCAACTTGCACAGGTTCCCCGCTGGATCTCCAGAGCGGAGACTCGAATGGGAAAAACCCACTCATCAATGGTCATCGCGCTCCCAGGACAAATCACAACGGAAACACTAGGAGTCAAATTCCTATCCCTTTTTAACCGAAGCTGTCATATCGAGGCTTTCCTCCCAACCTTCCCAGATACCCAGTGTGCGAAGTGCCTTGAGTTCGGCCACCGCCAGGAGAAATGTAAGAATAATGGAAAATGCGGCCATTGCGCCGGAGATCACTTTACCAGCTTCCACCCATGCAATGAATGCCAGGGAGGATATAAGTGCACCCACACCCCAATCAGATGTCTAAACTGCAAAGGAATCCATAAGGCCTCCGACCCAGCATGCCCCGAAAGGGTCAAATGCCGATTCCTCAACAAAGGAAAGGAAAACGCCCCTCCCGCCCAAGACCCACCAGCCGCACCCGCCCAAGAGCTACTTCCAATAGTCCAAGTACCAGCTACCGCCCCGGTCGGAGCCACACCCGTTCCCGAAGACGACCAATACATGACGAATAATGCCTAGGCCCCGAACCACCGCGCTCGCACACCAACTCAACTGTGCACGGAGCGAACTAACCACCAAGGCGGCGGTGGAGGAAGCGGAAACAGACTCTAGCATATATTTTTTATTACTACAAGAACCATGGACCTCAACAGAGGGATATCCACCAGAATCAAATCTCTTTTATCTGTTTACAGCCAGCAATACCAATACAAAATGCGCAACATACGTCCGCAAACACACCAACCTCAAACCAAAACACCACTACACAAATGATAATTTCATAGTATCGATTACGGTAGAAATCCAGAACACGAAAACCCAAATCCTAAACATATACTCCCCAGGCCGAAGTGGCCCCTTCGCCCAAATAGCAAAAACAATCCAAACCCTCGACAATTGCCTAGTAATGGGAGACTTCAACTGCCACCATCAAATGTGGTACGGAGTGACCTCACATGAATATAGAAACAACATTCGAGCAGACCGCGCCAACGGTGCACGGCTAAAACAATGGATAACCCGACAGAAACTGACCCTCCTGAATGAACCAGGAGTCTATACACACTTCCCTAGAGACAGAGGGAAGAGGCCCACAATCATCGACCTTACGTTTGTAAAAGGCCCAATACTTGACCACAACCTACGATGGAGCACTGAACCCTACGGAGTGGGCTCAGACCACGGGAGAACCTCTGTCCACCTACATTTGGAAAAACCACCCTTTGTACCAAGACGAATGTGGCGACAAACAGACTGGAAGCTGTTGGATAACCACATGTCAAATCTCTCCCTCCCTGCAGAAGCATGGGAAACTAAGGAACATACGGAACAGACTGTCGAATTCTTCCTAGAACTGGTCAAGGCAACAATCAACATAGTAACGCCACTCTCAAAGGAAGGGGTAAGAGCCAACTCCTGGTGGTCAGATGAACTGAAACAGATGAAGGCAAAAGTAAACTCGGCAGAAAGGAAGGCGAGAAACACAAAGAAACCCAACCATGTGGAGGAACACCGGAAAGCATGCAGAGAATGGACAGTCATGATCCGGAAAGCAAGAGCAGACCAGCGGGAAAAGAAGATGAATGAAGCAAAAGGTAGTGAGGTCTGGAGAATCCTAAACGTAGGAAGGAGAAGGGACACAATCATACCGACCATACAAGGTGAAGAAACGTTTGCGGGGAAGTGTCAAGCTCTAAGAGCCCAACTCTTCCCCTCAAAATGGACGTCCCCTGACCATCCCCCCCTAAACATCAGACCCCCCTCTTTTGACCTAAGCAACACTTTCGACATAGTCACTCCCGAAGAACTTAAGAAAGCAATCGACTCCTGCCCAGCACACTCGGCGACCGGCCCAGATGGCATCCCTTATACCTTCATCAAAGCGATAGTTAAAGCAAATACAACTCTAATCCAAGACATGTTCTCCGCCATGCTTCGGCACGGGGTACATCCAGCGGAATGGAAAATAGCAAAATGCATCCCAATTCCGAAACCCGGAAAGGCAAACTATCACGAAGCAAAAGCCTACCGGCCCATCTCCCTTCTACAATGCTTCAGCAAAATCCTGGAAAAAATAGTGGCTCAAAGACTCTGCACCGCTGGAGAAATTCTAGGCACACTCTCAGCGAATCAATTTGGAGGAAGACCAACCATCTCAGCAATCGACGCCCTCTTAAGAACCCTAACACCAGTACAACAAAACCTACTATTGAAGAACAGCACCGGAGTCGCCCGGCGGGACAGACCAGCGATCCTAACCAACGATATCCAGGGAGCATTCAACTGTGTAGACCACCTACTCCTCGCAGAAATCATGCACCAGCAAAAATTCCCCACCTACCTAACAGAATGGTGCAAGGAATTCAACACCGGCAGAAAACTACAGTTCCAATTTAACCATGAACTAGAGGAACCACAGCCCTATGAATCGGGAGTCCCGCAAGGTAGCCCCATGTCCCCGGTACTATTTATGATCTATGCCGGAGTAATCCTGGACCCAACAAGCAGCCCGAAAGAGATGGACACTACATACATCGACGACGATGCGCTGGTGCAAATATCCAAAACACCAGGCTTCATAATCAAAAGAATGGAGGAACGAATGAGAGAAAGACTAATAAAAGCCGACCCACTCCAAATTAAATACGACCCGGATAAATCTGACCTGATCTTCTTCCGCCCCACTACGTCATCCATACAACAACCACGACTTCCAGTCAAAATCAACAACACCGCTATATACCCCAAAGAGAGGCTGAAATACGTTGGAGTCTGGATAGATCCGACCCTCTCCTTCCGGCCCCATATTGAAGCAGCGATCGCAAAAGGCCTGAAAGCCCTCCACCAAATCCGAAACACTGCCCGCCTGCCAGGCATAACAGTTAAGACAGTCCATCACCTAATAACACAAGGCTTCCTTCCAAGCCTGCTCTACGGATCCGAGGCTTGGTGGACTGGCGCAGACCACATCATAAGATCCCTCGAGCCACTATACAATGAAGCTGCCCGGGTCATCACAGGCCTACCACGATGGACCAAGAGAGCTAAACTCCTCCGAGAAGCAGGCCTACCCCCCCTAGAACACCTCCTGACATATCGTTCAAGAAAGTACGGAACCAGAATACTCTGCACCGACGCAACCCACCCCAACAATGAATCTCTGATCGAGCTCCTCCCATACAGAGAAGCAAATATCAAAGGGAGAGGCCTGCACCGAATCGCCTCCCTCTTACTCCCGTACCAAACCCCCGGAAATATGAGAGACAAGTGGAACCAAAACAAACTGTTACGCGACCATCTGCTAGAAGACTGGAATACACAATCAATACCTAACTACCGCCATCGGGGGGAATTCCGCCCCCCTCCCAAGATTGCGAAACTCACCCTTACAGAAGCGAAAAAGGTATTTCGAATCCGATGTCAAACCACCCGAATCGATAAATATGCAGCACATACAGACCCCGAACCATGCCAGTGTGGTATGGAAAACTCAGCGAAACATACACTTATGGAATGCCCAGCGTGGGCTCGAATTCGCGCCCCCCTGATAGAGAAAATCCCCGGAGCGATGACCTGTGAAAACTGGATGTTTACAAACCTGAAAACGGACCTTATCCTACAATTTGCAAAGAAATCTCAACTCTCGAAATGGTACGAGTCGGTGGAGGCGGAGGCGGACCTGGAAGAGGGGATGGAAGAAAATGATTAGGGACGGGATTAGGAGGGGTAGTTTCCTTTTACCTTTTATTTTTGTTTGTTTTTTTAAAATTTTGCTTTTCGATGGATCCAGCGCCCGAGTCCGCTGTGATATGTTATTTTTCCTTGTCGTTGGATTTCTCTGGTCGCGTGTCGTCTTTGAAATTCCTTGTCCTTGTTTGTGTTTGTTTTGTTCTTGTTTGTTCGTGTTTGTTGTTTTTTCCTTTTCTTCTCCTTTTGTTTTTGTTCGGTTTGGTTTTGTTTTAGGCGGTTGGTTCGGCGTGCGATAAGTCTTGTACTTCAATGCAATATAAGTTTCTTCTTCTTCTTCTTCTGTATTTATTCCACGAATACTACTTTTGTTCTACGCTACGTCATAGGGCTCGTCTTGGATCTTGGATCAGGATTGAACCACCTCATAGTCTATAGTTACGAATATCTTCTACTACGTTCTTGCCTCGGTTGTATTCTTTGGCACTATAGTCTCTCGTCCATAGACCCACGTTATCCCATAAACCGTAGCTCGTTGAGGTCCCAATCGGGTCCTTTACAACGGGTGCCCGCGCGCGTATCACAACCACGGGTTCGAATTATATAGAGTTTTATTCAACGAATTACATAGTTACAGAGGAATGAAAGGTAATAAAACAATTGCGATCACTACTAAGACAAAGAGGCTCATCACATGTTAAGCATTTATATCTAGTTCTACCAACAACCCTTTTCTTTGAGTCCTTTTCTAGTCTACTGGACCACCTGCACTGAACGCAGTCTCTCCGCTCATCAACATGAACAGGAAGGTGTTCACCATGCTGAAAGGGACGGGGTGCATCAGTAGAGTGTTCGCTTATGCGCCGAGTCTTTTTCTGGTTTTGCTTTTGGGTTGTTGGCGGTTCCTTTCTCTTCTGCACAGCGCCTTTCAATATCAAATCCCAACCAACCCGCATCCTAAATTCCTTATGAGATAAGTCCTTTTCCGCACTTGCATGATCTCCGTATATGATATAGGAATTAATAAGTATTGTATCCAATACCCAGAAGAAAATTGGATACCAAGTTCTTCTTGATATCATATGTGTAGTATAATAGGACCGGAGTTGGTCTGCAATATCAACACCATTCATATTGAAATTATAATCATATATGCATAATGGAATTGGAAGATTTGCTTTCCACTGCCCCTCTGCCGGCCAGAAATTCGAGGTTTTTACACCTGCCGCATTGGTGCTTTTCGGACCGGGTTTTTTTCGATCTGTGAATATTTCAGAGGAGCGGCCAGTAGTAGGATGCATAGTAGTCATGACTAGTACAGGCGCTGAATCCATCCAAAGCATGACAGCAACGCCATTGACAACAAGTGATGTCCTCCAGTGATATGGTAGTTTCGAATTTTTAGGTATTGATAGTTCGGTAGGGAAGTCTTTAGAGTTGGAGCGGGCCGTTCCACATGCTCCAACTCCAAGGCGTATTCTGAGTGCGGAAAAGAGGGGTAAATTTGTATAGAAATTATCCATAAAAACATCAAAAGATTGATCCAGGCCGTACTCATCACAATTGCGTTGCATGAGGTGAAAAACTAATCGGCTAGTAGCGCTTATCTCATCCACCTCGGGAAACCCAGAGGACGGTATTGGGTCAGGGCCAGAATGGTTCGATGTCGGGAAAAAATCATAAACATAACCGGCAGCTGCATAGCAATGGAACTTATAACCTTGATCAATCGGCTTACTAGGCATTTTGTACGTGTCTTTAGAATGACCAGTGCATTGTATCATAGCTTCGTCAATTGACACCTTTATTGGTGGGCGTCGGTACTTCCGTGATGCAGCCCGTAATTGATTCAAGAGGGGGTCAACTTTTGAGTGCCAAAGACGTCGTCCTGACGTAGTTTCCTTTGGTGCCTCGGGATGTGCAACGTGGAAATATCTCCGGATTTGTTCGAAGCGCGTAAGAGACATGTAATCTCTAATATGATGCAACGGATAAAGACCACTATTTTTCCAGTAGTCTTCCACGGCTGGCATACGGCAAACTCCCATGTAAATAATGATTCCGAACCATGTCTTCATTTCTTCTAAAAACACTGGCCTCCACCCACGTCCCTCTAGTCCAGCATCCTTCGTTGTAGCATAGCAATTGGTATTGAATGCAATTTCTGACATCAAAGTCTCGGTGAGGAAAAGATTGACAATTGTACTGGGCTCAATAACTTTTGACTGTTGCAACCGGCGTGGCAGAAGATTCTGTGCCACTCTAGGAGGTTTTGAGTGTCTAATAGGTGAGAAGGGGGTTGATTTAGGGAGTGTATTCTCCAATGGGGGTGGTGAGCGAGATCTGGTGACCGGGATTTTGGGTATCTTTGTAGGCTTATATCTTTTCCCTTTGAAGGCGGGTACTTCTGGGTCTTTCTCAGGTGTCTCTAGCGAGTAGGAAAGATTAAGATTACGGGGGCTTAGAGCTCTAGAGGCCATGGTGGGCAAATTGAATGATATCGCTGCTGTTCAATTATTTTGTATGGAAAATCACCCTTCCCAACTGTTCAATTTATACACTCAAGAACCCCTCTAATTTCGAACTCTTATTATTATTATTATCATTGCTACCTACTCCATCATACATACAGTATAATGACATAACTTTCTTGTGGTGCTGGTTGACAAAGTGCGAGGGAGAATAGGGCCGTTGATATCATCACCCGATTGGGTCCTCAACTCCGTTGCTACGGTTCATGGGATAAGTGAATCTTTGTTGATAATGTAACTCGCGGGGCCCGTATCGGACTAAGAAGATTCCTACTCAACGTTGACTGAAGAGACCTTGGAGACTTCTACCTTCGTAGTTGTTAGCCGAGCTCTGAGCTCTGCGTAGTGTACTCTTGTGGTCTGGTACGCATCTCTCACATTGGCGCTCGGGGCGCAAAATGTGCGTCAGGATGTAGGGGCTGCGCTCTGGGTAATATTTGTGCTTGCTGATGTACAAAAGATCACCAGGCATTCAGAGCTTCACTCTGGCCGGTCTTCAGTCATTGGCTAGGCATAAACTCGTCAATCATTGCTTCCATGAATAGATCCTCTTCCTAGCGCTCAGAATGTAGTTACTCTAACAGCTGGTAGCTAACCACACTGCCGGTACTTGCATGTCAATTTGCAACTGGCTTCTAACGATAACTCTCAGCATGTAACCGGGCCTTCTGTGTACTCATACATCAGACAGTTGAAATAGCTCCGTTACACTATCATGGGCAAGTTCCAGACTCGTCAGTTATTACTCCCATGATAGTTCCTCTTTCCTTAACAACTTAGAAAGTAGAGGTCTTGTAGCTGGTAGTGAACCACTACTGCAGATACTAGCATTCCATAAGCTGTTGATCTTCTATAATACTTCTCAGCATATAACGTGCCCCTGTATGTACTCATATATCATGTAACGGGGGTCCTTTCTAAGAGAAATAGAATCGAATAGAATAGAGACGGCCGTGCAAGATAGACAATCAGGTTGCAGATTATTCAAAGATACTATCGCTAGAACTCAATAATCTTTAAGGGCTCTGCTACCGATAAGAACTTGGTTTTTCTTTCTGATGAAGACTGAAGAGAACAGGACTGAAGGGCGAGAATGAACCTGAGTACTTATACTCCAAAGGCCTCTATTCTCTGCTCCTAACTCCTTACTAAGTTCCGGTGGGCCTTTCCTCAGTACCGGAAACAATACCACCGCTACCCCGCTTTTCTCTAAGCGTCAGCAGGTGTTTCCGATACCCAAGGCAACCACCCTTAGTCAAAGCCTTTGTAACACCTGCAGCCTTGGTTGCCACACAACCGAGGACCTGCATGAATGAGCGACCGCTCAGGTGTAAGCTTAATCATTGCTGTAGAGCTTTCGCTTATTGTAGACTTCCCTAGCATAGTCCCTGCCTCTTCGGCGGTCATACAATGCTCAGAGGATACAGAGGATCACCGGACAATCAGAGCTTCACTCTGGCCGGTCTTCTAGTCACTGGCGAGGCATAGACTCGTCAGTCATTGCTCCCATGAATAGATCCCCTTCCTAGCGCCCGGAATGTAGTTACTCTAACAGCTGGTAGCTAACCACACTGCCGGTACTTGCATATCACCGCGCAACTGGCTTCTAACAATAACTCTCAGCATGTAATCGGGCCCTGTGTGTACTCATACACCAGACAGTTGAAATGGCTCCGTTACATATCAGACAGTTAGATAGCCTTCGTTATAATTTAAATCTATAAAAAGTCCATCTTTTCTTCCTTGACGCCGTGTCACCCCCTTGGTTACAGGCCACCTCCCCATACAGTATCCTTCTCTCCCTATACCGTCTAGCAATGAAAATTCCACATACTCTCTATTGACTTGGCTCCAATCGAGTGATAAGGCATGAAGATATTGTTTTTTTTGTATTTTTTTTGTTTAATTCAGCATGAAGATATTATCATCAGCGCCAGGGAACCGATTGTCTAGGACTAGTTAATCTCTATTGCGAGAACCCTTTCAATTATTGATCTGGTGGGGGACTTCCGACTTTTTATCACCCTGATACAGTGCTCCTGTACACATTGAAGCCCCGTGTACATCTGATACTGTGATTGGTAGATTGGCACCACTTAAATCACCCTAAGGCGAGTGGCCTTATTTGGATTACTGCATTCACCTATATACATACGCCAACGATATCTCTCTCCATAAATACCTACATCTAGCCATCGTGAATAGAGAATCGGGCCCTTATTCGAAATATACCTATCCCCACCGTAAAAGCGCACCTCTCGCTTTCCAGCCAATGTGTAAACCCTTCCCAATTCCCCCATTCCTCCGAAACCAAAACCGATATCGTTAAATGAACTATGTAAAAGTTGACCAAGGCAAGTAAGTGGAACCCTTTGTCATCCGAAAACCATACAAGTGAAAAAATAGGTTGCCCCAAACTAGACTGGTAGGAATGAGAGAAATAGGAAAAGGAAAGGAAGCAAATAAAGGGTATCATCAAGTGGACATATTCGTGCTCTAAGATCAAATCGTAAAACTCGTTCCTTCGTTTTTCTCTTAATAGAGAGGTATCGCGCTGTCTGAGTAGTGCAACTCGCCCACATTTGGCTACTCAAAAAACCTTCGCTGGAAAGATCAAAGTTAGATCCCTTCATCTGTGAGTTTCTCGACAAGATGCATTGATAATATCCTGTAGAGTGTTAGCCGAATCTATAAGAAATGCAGTGTGATCATCAGACTTACATTACTAATAATCCTATGGTCACAATAATCAGTAGTGCAAAGCCGAACCAGCCCAGGACCATAGCCGTTACGCCAACGCCTGTTGCAACAGATCCATTGCCCATGGTTTCGGCAATAGTCGCCGCGGCCACACTCGCAGTGTGTTGCCATAATACCGAAACTAGCACAAAGATAGCTGCGACAAATATTACTGCTAGTGCAATTTGGGACACGGCCCGACTTGGGAGTCGTCTCATCTCAGGACCTCCGTCATACTCTTCTTCGTATCCCGGGAAGGTCGCAAGGAGAAGCAGCGTAACTGCGGCGAGAATAATAGCGATAATCAATAGGTACGGGAAAACAATGCTCTCTTTGAATGTCTGGGCGACCCATATCAGGTTCAGTGGGTCCTGGTCGACGCTTACTTGCGCGGCAAGGGAAGAGGCGTTGGCGCTACACAACCAGGAAGATCCGTCAGGATTTATACAAATTCCAAAGTATCTGGTATAATCCCACATTAGTTCTCCCCTCGCTCAGGTAATCTCGAGAGGTACAATTCCAATTACCCAACTCTTGCCTCTAACTGTGCATTTCCAACAATGTTTCCAATAGCTCTTGATGCGCCTGGGTCGACTTGCGCAGGGTCGTACTGAGGCGACGACCGGTCATACCATAGATTTATTAAAAATATAGAAGGTATGAGTGGACTTGAAGATGAGCATCCCGCTAATAAAAGAGCTAAAAACCAAGTGAATGTCAGCAAATTGATATATTAGCAACTATTGTCGGCGGCTATTCTTACAGAGGAGTATAATCGCGACGAGGATAAGTACCATTAGTACATGATGGTAAGCGAGGAAAGGCACAAGCCCTAATCACGATCCAAGTTAGTGAATTGTACGCAAAATCATGGCTACATAACTGAGTTACAAGAAATTCTTATAACAGAATCCTTGACAGAAAACAAATGGTGATAACGTACTCTCAAACCCGAAAACGAATCGAATTCTTCTTTCAACCATCGTTCCCTTTGACAAACAGCCGTGATGTGAACTTCTCGTAGGCAGACAAGCGCGTTGTTAGATTGGCTACGTAAACTATCCAGGCGTGCCTAAGCAATGTCGCAGAAATTATAACGGGTCTCACTTTCCCGCGAGAAACGGTTCGGAATCCTGCCAGGAATGAAGTGGAGGGGTATCGATTAATGGTCACTGTAAGTAATGAGGAGGGGTGAGGGGGAACGTGAAAACGAGGTGAGCAAGATCAGTGGATGAGTATTGTGCGAGAGAAAGGGACAAACGTAGTGTGACTAGATCCAGTGAAAAGGGGAGGCTGGACCAAGTGAGTGACGCCGCAAAACAACATACATACATAATCGCCCAAAATGTATGTGTGTATATGTATATTTAGCTTGTCCTCACATCTCTCTGCGAGGTGATACTGCGACAACTTGTAAATATACGGCTGCTACGGCAACGGGCAAGAATCACACCAATCAACTTCAAGCAGCAACCATGTCTCCCAGCCACCCAGCCACCCGCTTATGTAGGCCAAGCTTTTATTCCAGCCACGCCCAAACATCTTCGAGTTCCTGCGTTTTTGACACATGTCCCTGCGCATACGAGTCAAGTGTGCCTTTCTCTATCTGTAAGTCGTGCAGATTGCACGGCCAAAATTCCTTCAGTGGGGTTCGATGGCGGGGTACGATTCCCCACAATGTAAATGTACCTAATTACATTTAGTCCGTACATGCATGTATTCTAGTAAAATAGTATGTACATGTAATTTAGGCCCGTTTGGCTGTCCTGTCGAAACGGAGTTTTGTGGATTTATAAAGTATGGCAACGACATAACTCCGTTTCGATTTTCGTATGCGTTCGACTGCCTTTTTTTTACAACTCCGTTAGGGCCTTTAAACGGAGTTTTTGAAGTTTTAAATCCACTTGGCAGCCAAACGGGCCCTTACCTACGTATTAAGTAATGATGTAATAGGGCGCGTTTACTAAAGTAAAGGGAAGCGCAGTTTAGAAACTCGTGCAAACGTTAAGGGACATTTTTTGTATAACCCCATTTTACGAAACACTTTGTGTTCGGCGTGCCATTTTGTAATGCACCAAAACTAAGAAGTAGATCCAGTTCGTGTTTAATCAAATCTCCGTTTATGCTCGTTGTACTTATTTACACTAGAAAGTCCATTAATTGACGAGCTGGCCGGGCGACATTCCTATCCATAGGGTTACGGAAGTGATTTGTTTGTAACTTACATACATGTAGCTAGCAGATGTGAAAACTTACACTCCGTTCTGCAACACCCCAATATCATTATCCAATATTGTTTCTAGCGGTAGCATTCTAGCAGCCACAAAATGTCAACATTTTCAATCTGCTGTTTGCCCAATATTGCGAACTGACACCACTAGAAGCGGCTCAACCCATGGCCACCAAGTACACCCACAACGTCCCAGCTTGTGATTGCAGCTGAACATGCCAATACAGTCGAATCTCCCTATAAGGGTACGGAAATACCGCGATGTCGTACCCTTATAGAGCAGTTACCCTTATAGATATTTCAGGGTTAGGTTTGGCAGAGTAGAAAGTTCACTTTTGGGAGTAAAGGGTTCGCGCAACACTGAATTCGGCAGAGTGGGAAGTTCGCGGAACTTCACTTTTGGCGGATAAACCATCACTCTTTGGTGACGGAACTTTCAGTTTTTGGCAGTGCAACTTTCAATGTTGTTAGCAGAACATTTTTCACTTTTTGAGGGCAAAGTGCCCCAACTTCCACTCAAAAGTTACTCTCTCTATAAGGGTAATACACCAAAAAGTTTGAAAATTTACTAAGGGTATTCTTATAGCAAGAATATGAGCATTTACCCTTAGCACTACATACTAAAAAAAGTAGCCTGCGGACCGGGCTCCTTATAAGGCGAGTATTCTTATAGAGGGTACCCTTATAGCGAGATTCGACTATAACAGCATTCACAAATATACTACATGTAGATCACAAAAATCACATATTTGGTTGTAACCTTGCCAGGTTGCAACCTCGCCATGTTTATATCACAGTTTTGCAGAACGGAGTGTGATTCTTTTATAAATAGTATATGTAGTAATTAATAGAACGAGCTTCCCACCAGATTACAATTATTGTGCTATCTTCTCATTGCTACCTAACCAGGTCGCAATAGAGCGTATTTACTAACCGTCAATTCTGACAATTGGCGCTTCGCCACTCTCAAAAGCGGAATCCACAAGTGTCATTTTGCGGCTTGCGCATTTCATATCCTTATGGAGGGGAAGTGTCAATTTTGCATTTTGCAACCGTCAATTTCGAAGTGTCAATTGTCAAAAATGACACTCAGTAAATACGCTCTAATACGTCCACCACACAGGTAACTGTACCGTGTGTAGGTACCTGCGTCGGCGATATTATGTACTCGTATAGTTACCCGGATAGTCAGAACCTTCTAACTAGAAGACACCCAGAAACAAACGTACATCCCAATCGCCAGTACTTCTAACAAAATGCCAATCGCCCTCCACAAAGTACAAAAGAAAATCAAGGCGAAGAAAGATGGGAAGCTAGATTCCCTCGGCCGCCGTGATTCGAAAAAGCTCAGCCGAGCAACTCTCCGGGACGAAAAGTTAAAAAAGCTAGGATCAGCAAGATCTAAGTTGAAGGAACTTGAGCGTTAGTCGCTTTTCATAATTTCTTTCAGTGTATACAGTTAACAGATAATCATGCAGTGATCCGTGTGGGATACTTTAAAGTGGCGACAAAAGATGTGAAGGTACCATTGAGTACCCAAGAAATTCGGGACTTGATAGAGAAGTACATCTGCTCATTGTCGACAAGGATGATACTACTTTGACGCTAATAAGTTCTAGGTGGGTGCACCGCGATGATGAAGAGTTATTCGAAATGCGGAGTGAGCGCCGCCCTGGACGACCTACATCGACGAAGGAAGATCTTTTGAAGCAACGGATTGATCGCGAAATTGAAGAGTTCAGGACAGGCTTTTACATTCCGGACTTGCAAAATTCTGAGAACATTGAGCGACTACGACGGTGGGACGGGACTGTGGGCTCTCTGGCACAGGTCAAGTTCACAAGGATATCCAAAGAAGATGCATCGATGAAAATCAATTGAGGATGTTGATCAAAAGTCAATAGCTATACCGATTCTCATCACTATGATGCTTGTGTAGTGATAATTAAACGACTTACCGGTCCCTAATTTTATGTATGGGTCTTTGGTGATATTCTGATGCAACGGATATGTTCACTTGGGCGGCGTTTTATTGCAACGTAAATATCATGACGTTTGGCCCTTTATCACGATATTCAATTGAAAACCAAACCACATTACTTATCTACGTATACCTGTCGAACACACCGCAACATTGTATTTCATTTCAAGGCGGCAATCTAGCATATTCTTTTCTTATAAACCTTCAACCAGCGCCGAACAGTTATCTACCTCAGTTTTTTGTCCAAATTGTAATGAGCGTAGAGACTATGTACATATACATGTACATACAACACATGCATGATGCATACATACATACAATACCAAAAATCGTGATGTTCTCCTTGCTACAGGGCAACAGTACCACTGCTGCATCTATATGAAATGCAATGATCCTGATATACGTCTACATTTTCCAAATTATAGTGAGAATGACAAGACAGTACCTATAGTATAGTGTACTCTTCACAAATATGTTGTTTATTACAGTCTGTAGTGATACTGTAGTGTAGTGTTCTTTTGGTTAAAGATTAATATTGCAAGAATACGGTATACAGCGATACCATAGAACACGAGAAATACAGTCGACTCTCGTTATAGTGATACTGCATATAGTGATACTGCATATAGTGATACTCTCGTTATAAGGACATGTAGAAATCGACGGTCGATCCCGAAATACCTTTTTACCCGTACCTCCTTGCTTCTGATAGTGATACTCGCATTTAATACAAATTTTCGGTCTCGACCGTATCCTTATATCGAGAGGCGACTGTATCGTCTATTAGTAATGTTTAGTCTACAGATGAATAAATATATCCTATATCTATAGGACCACAAATAGTTGTTTGTTATATTATTATTGAGTTCCCCAACGCTTTGAACGGGCTCTCGCTCTAGCAACTTTTCTCCCGGCTTTATACAAGATAGTGCATTCGTCAGCAAGCTATTTCTACATATTTTTCCAGTTCAACAGAGTTATTAGATGCTACCCGAGTACATGCTTCCGTTTCAATCACTACATGTACATGTATTATATAAATTATATGACGGGTTGCACACTTGCTTCTATGTATGTACGTACTAGTAGAGCTAGAGTAGGTACATCCCAAGTCGATACTATTAACGGTGTTGGAATGTCATCCAAAATTCACAATAGGTTATTTAGAAGGTGGTACCTTTTACCAACACCAATCCAATGCCTGAGTAAACAACGAAAACGTCCAAAAGTCTCAAAAAGAATTATTAGGAGTTTTGCTATCCCCAATATCAGTTCCGCTTATACTTGTAGTTCTAATTTATTTGTGCACGCGTACCGATAAGCTGGCCGAATCTGCGGATAGAGTCCATGGGCCTACATTTAGCTTGATGGCACTGATACATGTAGTTATCCTCATAAACTGGCTGTTTAGATAGAGTACGAACTTGCACACATGTACCTACGTGTAGAGTAGGTACCCAGGCCTACATACTCTACATACTTGTATCTACATGTACTACCTACTCTAGAGTACATGGTGTCAGACTGCAAAAGGATCTACCTTCAGAACACACGTGTGAATGTGATTCCTGCACGTTCTCTTTTTA